GTGTGTGTGTGTGCCCACAGCTCAAGCGGATGCAGGAGATGCTGGAGAGGATGCAGCAGCAGATGCACGAGCAGGAGCAGTGAGCCGCCTCGCCCGTCACGGCACGAGAAAGACAGACTCCACAGACCAGCGAACCTGGACAGAGCCCCTCGGCGCTGGCCGACCATCTCCTGTAAATATTGCGTGTTTAGTCCATGGTTTTCCCAGGAGCATGTTCTGTGTGTGGTGTCCAGAAGCCTTCACCGGCACAAAACAAGATGGACAAGACCTCCAGCCGACTTTAATCTGTACGTGCCGTCCGTTTTAAAACAACCACGTCGACGAGGAGAATAATCCTGTATGTTCTGATATTTAAACGAGTCTCTATTTATGAATATGCTCAAATGTTTCTTAATGCGCATTCAGGGTCTGGACTGCTCTGAAGAGTTTTTGTGTCCCTGCTGTCCCGTGGTCCGCCGTCTTTGAGAGCTGTGTTGTCAGTTGTGGATCTGTGCCCAGGTCAGCTCTTCTCGTCACCGTGCGAGAGGGAGAAAAGGGGGTCTCGGACCCCCGGGGATCACCTCGAGGTGTTGTGTACAGAAGGGGCCGGACTGACAGGTGCCCCCCGGAGGAGTCCGATCGCCAGAGGGAGCCGTGCTCTGTTCTGAATACTGTGAAGCCCAGACAAGCCAGAACAAGTTTAAACCTTTTAACGCAAGACTGGGAAAACATCCCGTTTCGAGAGCTGGAATCTAATCGCATTAACTGCTTCGACACTGGCCGTGTCATTCTGTGTCTTTATTTTTTCATGTTTAAATGTGTGAGTGCACTTCTCTGGAGCCCAGGAGCCAGATAGCTACTGGTACCCTACAGTCCTCTTCTGCTGTCATTACCAGATCAGCCAAACGCTACACAATTCACCGTGATCACATTGTGATATTACATGATATCACCATATCATATCGTGGTATTTCAGTGCCAAAACACACAAAACTCCCCAACTCACTCCAGAGCTCACCCATTCAGTTAAAATCTTGCATTGCTTGTACAAAAACTTCGCATTCTGGCAACTTAAATTCATTGACCGTGAAAACATGCCAGTCTTTTCAGCTCACACATTCGGTTTCCAGCTCCATGCAAAATAATTTCATACGCAAGATGGAGTCCAACTCAACCCATAATTTGGCCAAGGAAGCCCAGACATTTCCTGTTTATTTCTCTTACAGCGGGCGGCTCTTGTCAGAACAGTTTGGCGGTTTTGGGATGTAGGGTGTCACTTTTACACACTTGAAGGCAACAGCCCCTCCTTCATTTAATTCCAGCTCATTGCCGACGCGATTGGATTAACAGTATTACATTTTTAAAACTGGGGTTACAGCTGCATCTGGGCCTCTTGAGTGGAGGTGCTGTATCTGCAAGATACGTTTCGGAGAATGGAGAGAGAAGTGTTAAATTATTCTAGCTAACATTTAATTAAATAGACTAAGTAATTTATTTGGATGGTAATTAAACAGGGGGTCCCGAGGACATTGGAGGGGAAGAGTTGGCCTGTTTTCATGCGGTTCGCCCCTGATTGGCCCAGCCGCAGCTGAGACGACCAATCGCCTGCCTTCCTGTGGCTCTGTGTGGGGCAGACTCGCCTGCCTGCCCGTGATCCCAGTGCTTGTGTGCTCTTAGTGTCTCACGCCTTCCCGCCGTCCGGCTCCCAGCGGTTTCCCTTGCTACAGTAGCCCTGCCTGCAGTGTGAGAACCGTGCACATGTTTGTACCTTAATAAAAAAAAACTCCTGTCTCCTGAGTTCGTCTGGAGGCTTAATTTCATGGTGTGCGTGAGAGCGTGTTTCCATGAATGTATGACAGTCTGAGTCTGACTGTATATGCGAGAGTGTGTGTATGCGTGTGTGAGTGTGACTGAGGACTTTTCTGGACACTCCACTCAAAGCACTTCACAGGTATTGAGAAATCCCACAACTGCCACCAGTGTGCAGCCCCACCTGGATGATGCCCCAGTCCTCTCCCCACACACCAGCTCTCAGTGGGGAGGAGAGCAGAGTGATGAAGCCAGTTCAGAGATGGGGGTTATTAGGTGGCCATGACTGGCCAGGACGCCAGGGTAACACCCCTACTCTTTTCAAGAAACACCCTGGGATTTTTAATGACCAGAGAGACAGGACCTCCGTTTTACGTCTCATCCGAAGGATGACACTATTTTACAGTACTGTGTCACTATACTGGGGCATTAGGACCCACACAGACTGCAGAGCAAGTGCCCTCTACTGGTCCCACTGATACCTCTGACACCAGCAGCAGCCTTAGCTTTCCCAGGAGTCTCCCCTCCAGGTACTGACCAGGCCCACACCTGCTGGGCTTCAATGAGCTGCAGGGTGATATAGCTGCTGGTAAATGTATGTACAGTGTGTGTGTGACTGTGTGTGTATGTGTGAGGGTGTGTGTGTGACTGTGCATGTACAGTAGGTGTGGGGGTGATTGTGTAAGCTTGTGTGTGTGGTCTGGGTTGGCCAGAGTGAGGAAGAGACGGTTTCAGCTCTCTGCTGGTTTCTGACATGTCTGTTAACACTGCAGTTGTTCCCAGCTCTCTCCTCAGGAAGAGGCTGTGCTGAGTCACCCCTTATCTGGGCCCAGGCTGCAGATGGAAGTGTCCCTTGCAGTTTCCTCGGGCTTCAGCCATCAGCCTTATCACAGCACCGGCTGTGCCACAGGGCGCTGACGCCCACCGCTGTGTGCGCCTGTCATCACAAACAGGGGCTCTGTGGCCCTGGATCTGCGCCTGTGGCTGGGAGGTTGCGGGTTCGTATCCCGCGGCCGGCAGAGGAATCCAACTCCGTTGGGCCCCTGAGCAAGGCCCTTCACCCCAACTGCTCCAGGGGTGCCGTATAAATGGCTGACCCTGCGCTCTGACCCCCAGCTTCTGTCCCTGTCTGTGTGTCTCATGGAGAGCAAGCTGGGGTCTGTGAAAAGACAAATTCCTAATGCAAGAAATTGTATAGGGGCCAATAAAGTCATGTTAAACATGGAATGAAACAAATTGAAGTACCAGGCTCTCGAGTGCCACCTACTATACACTAGATGAAACTACAATTTAGTCGAAGACATTAAGAAAAGTTCAAGTAAGTAGGTAATTAACCTTTACTTGTTCCTTGACTAAATTAGTTCCGTTAAGAAAAGTCATACAATTGAAGGCTAAACATCAGGCACTTCAGCAGCCAGCTGGGGGTCAGCAAACATGCCTGAGAAAGTTTCATGTTTTTTTTAGCATTTGGAGGGATTGAGTATTTCCTTCCAGTAGTATTCCAATGCTGGAACTGGGGCTGCTGCACTGAGGCTGTAACACTTTGCAGTGTGAATTCCTGCCCTCATTTCGTCAGAGGAGCTGCCCGAGACAGAACCACATCATGAATAACCGCTCAGGACATCAGGAGCTGTGAGCTCCTGCCAGTTCCTGGGGCTCCCAGTCTGCGATCTGTGTGTTTCCCTCCCTGCGGCCGCCTGTCAGTGTGTCAGGGGCTTATCTCTCTCCCCCAGCTGTTTCTCTGTCACGGAGACAGCTGTACCAGCCGTCCTCCTTCCAGAAGCACAGCAACTCCGTCTGCAGCAACATCGGCTCAAGTGAGTACAACTGCTCTCCCAGCCTCTTTTCTCCGGGCTGTAGATTTTATTCTCATTTCACAGGCGCATCTCGTAAGCGGGATCGTGCGCACATGCCGTCTTCCCCAGTGTCTGAGTTGAAGCGTGAGGACAAGGGCAGGAGCTGCGTCCCCCTGGCTGCCACCAAACGCACATTTACAGAGTTTCAGAAACACAGAATTTGCCGGGGGAATTGTTTTCTCTAATATGGACGGGTAAAAACAGAAGTGGCTGGTCTTTGGCGGAAAGGGACAGGGTGGTCTTTGAAACCTGAGTGTCGATCTGCCCCCGACTTTGTGTCGCCTGCGTTCCTACGCCTCACGGGTCTCTCGGTACGCCAGAGCTGCGCAGTGTGAAAGACCAAGCTGGGCCGTGGCGCCCCCCCCCCGCCCCGTATCCGGGCCCGATCGGGAGTGTCCTGCCCCGGTTCTGCTTCTATAGAGCTGAGGCGTCTTCTGGATCTCCGTCCCGCTCTGAATGGCTTCCTGAGTGGTTTCATGAGGAGACGTCAACATGCCTGAGCCAGCAGCCGTCTCACCCTGCAGCTCCCAGCTGAAGCTCTGGAGCTCACTGAACTCCCTGAAGCCCAGCAGGGTGAGCCTGGTCAGTACCTGGAGGGGAGACTCCTGGGAAAGCTGAGGCTGCTGCTGGAAGAGGTGTTAGTGGGGCCAGCAGGGGGCGCTCACTCTGTGGTCTGTGTGGGTCCTAATGTCCTGGGGACACTGTACTGTAAAAAGGTGCTGTCCTTTGGATGAGACTTAAACTGAGGTTCTGCAATCTGCACTATTTGCGTGATCTACCATGTTTTTTTTCTCACTACCACATATCTATTGTTCTCCACAACATGTTTATTTTTCTGGCTGTTGTCATTTGGAATGTGCTGTCTACGTTGTGTGGTGTTGTCGGCTGTACTGCGTATGTCCCAGGAGATCAGTGAGAGGACGAATTCCAACGTACAAGTACATATGGCTATAAACTTCTCTGCTGAACTACTCTACTCTGCCGAGATCTCTGCTCGCCCGCCCCTTGAAGCCCAGACTGGTAAACTGGCAGGGCTGGGGCTCTTCCAAGATGGGTGAGACCATCGGGGCTCAGCGAGGCTCATGGCAGCGCAAGACAAGCTGCCCAATGGGACACACGCACACACGCAGATCGCAGCAGAGCCCAGGTGGCTGGCAAGGCTGCTGGTATTTATCAAGTCCTTCTTTCTCCTTTCGCCTCAGACAGTAAGGGTCAGGGCATCTCTTTGTGCCTTGGTTAAAAAAAGCTCAGATTGCCATGAAAGTCCCTGGCAATACTGTTAGCACAACCTCGGCAAGTAATAATAATAATAAACTTTATTTTATATAGCGCCTTTAAAGGTGGCTTTTCAAAGCGCTTTACAGAATGACAACAACAGTAAATAAAAAGAATACTCAAGATAAAACACAATTACAATATACAGGGGAGACCGTGGATGGTGCTACTAAGAAAAGCAGAGGGGTGAAGAATAGAACCAGTTAAGTAAAGGCTTTTCTAAAGAAGAGGGTTTTGAGTCTGGATTTGAAGGAGTTCAGAGAAGGTGACTCTCTAATATCCTTGGGGAGAGAGTTCCAGAGCTTGGGGGCATAACAGGAGAAGGCCCTGTC